ATTAATAACCCTCCAATACCCCCAAGCAGAAGTTATTGAGTGGTTATTATGCACGCAGCTCTGCGTGCGTATTCCTTATGAAAATATTTCCTCACAGCGTGAACTTCCTCCACTCAAGATGAGAAATGGAAAAGCGATGAGTTGGCAGGGCATAGATTCCTCAACAGATTTCAGTTGTTCATTAATGACCCAGCTATTCATGTCATTAATATGTAACTTATTCTATAAAGGAATTAATTTAGATTAATGGTAGGCTTGTCTAGTTTATTCATTAGCCAATGAGTAGAGCCGAGATGAGCTCAAGCTCGAGCTTGTTTAATAAACGAGCTCAAGTTTGAGCTCTAGCTCGAGCTAATGGCTCGATAAGCTCGGATCATGAGCTTGTTAACGACCACGAGTCGGTTTGGATCATTTATGTTAAGTGTTGAACCTCGATCTACGCCTCCCGATCCCGCTCCCGCACTACTAGATTGCGAATCGGCGCGATCCCGATCCCGCTCCCACCTCCCTCTCGCGAATACCCACAACCGCTCCCTCTCGTTTTTAGTTCACGAGCTGGCCCCGCTCCCGTTTCACAAATAATCGCGACGTCTCCTTCTTGTTCATGATAAAAGCTTTGGACGACTCTCCTTGAAGTTTAGAAGTCACGATTTGAGTTATTCTTCGGTTTCCTATGGATAGAGGAAGGTTTCTCGGGCAGAGGAAGAGAAGTGCAAACAGTAGTTCTTTGCCGCAGAAGGAAGATGAAGGAAGAAGAAGAAGATTGTTCTCCCTTTGCTTCTTCTTGGTGGATTGTCGCAAAAGAGAAATTGAGTTTATTTCTCTTGTAAGTTTATCTTCTTCGGTGTATCTCGGTGTAGAGTTTCTTCGGTGTATCTCAGTGTAGAAAGAGAAAAACAGAGAGAGAAGAAGATAGAGCAATAAAGTAGAAGTGAGAATATCCTATTGTAAGTTGAGGTGATCTACTGGTGTAAATTCCTCAATTAGTAAATTCTCTGCAACTCCGTGGACGTAGGCAATTTGCCAAATCACATAAATTTGTGTGTTCTTTTCTGGTGTGAATTTTTCTCTTTCTATTTTTCACTTCGAAGATCATTCTCCTGTTTGATTTATCATATATAGATCTCATAACAACTGGTGTCAAAGCTTCGTTCAGATCTAATGAATAGTGATGACTACAGATGAAGTGAAGGTTTCAGGAATCAAGAAATTTGATGGAACGGATTTTGGTTATTGGAGGATGCAGATATAAAGCATCTTCCGTTATTGAGGAAAAGACTTGAAAGAATAGATGAGGCTGAATGAAATTTTTTGGTTTGGATCGACAAGTTCTGGGGTCTGGGGGTTATTTGATTGACCCTATCGAGGTTCGTTGCACACAACGTCGTCAATGAGAGGACGATTGTCGATCTCATGGCAGTCTTATCAGGTATGTATGAAAAGCCATCGTCGAATAACAAGGTGCGCTTGATGAAAAAGTTATTCAACTTGAAGATGACGAAAAGTGTTTTTGTTGCTCATCACCTAAATGATTTCAATTGTATCACAAATCAATTTTCATCTGTGAAAATTGATTTTGATGATGAGATATGTGCATTGATCCTGTTGGCTTCCTTGTCAGATAGTTGGGAAGCCATGAGAATAGCAGTTAGCAGTTATGCAGGTAAATCTAAACTGAAATATGATGATATTCGTGATTTGATTTTGGCTGAGGAAGTTAGCAGGAAAGATTATGGCGAGGTCTCAGGTTCGAGTTCAACAATGAATGTTGATTTCAGAGGGAGATGACATGACAGAAACTTAAGTATAGGGAGATCAAAATCAAAGTTTAGTAAGCAAACAACCTGTTGGAATTGTGGCAAGGCTGGCCACATAAAGAAGAACTACAAGAATCCTAAGAAAATAGAGAATGATAGCGTAAAAGTGATATCTGAAGAATCACATAATGCATTATTGTTGGCAGTTCATAGTTCTGTTGAAGACTTGATATTAGATTCAGGGGCTTTGAATGTGGTAAGAAATCTTCCAGATGCTATAGTGCAGGGCAGTGTTGGAAGTGAAGAGGAAAGTGGGTCTGGGGCACCCATTCCTATTGTTCAATAGACAGATGTTGAAGAACCATAGAGTTATGAAGAAATATTGCAAGTTGAAAGTTCCAGCAAGTGGGAGCTAGCATAACTTCCACCAGGGAATAAAACATTGCACAACAAGTGAGTGTACCAGGTGAAGACTGAGTGTGATGTCAGTATGATGTACAAGGCTAGACTTGTTAAAAAAGGCTTTCAGCAGAGACAAGAGTGATCCAGGAAATAACTTGGAGGTGCAAAGCTATATGGAGTCTGCTGATATGTTGACCGAGGGTCTTACTCTTGAGAAACTGAAATTGTGCACAGCTTCAGTTGGTCTTCTGGAGTGAAGATAGAGACTTTGAGGAGCAGAGGTGGAGGATCAAGGTAGAGGATTCAAGTTGGAGGATTCATGTTTGAAGAAAAGAACTACACTGTTTTGAAGAAATTGAAGAAAAGAACTACACTGTTAGTGAAGGATATCAGTTTGAGAAAGAATACGTTGTAACAGGTGTATCAGTCTCCAAGTGAGAGATTGTTAAGTGTTGTAGCCCGATCTAAGCCTCCCGATCTCGCTCCCGCACTGCTCGATCGCGGATCGGCGTGATCCCGATCCCTCTCCCGCCTCCCTTTCGCGAAAGCCCACGACCGCTCCAGCTCGTTTTCAGTTTGTGAACTGGTCTCGTTCCCGTTTCGCGAATAGTCGCGACGTCTCCTTCCTGTCAACGATAAAAGCTTTGGACGGCTCTCCTTGAAGTTTAGAAGTCACGGTTTTAGTTCTTCTTCGGTTTTCTCAGGATAGATGAAGGTTTCTCGGGGCTGAGGAAGAGAAGTGCAAGTGGTAGTTTCTTGCGGCAGAAGGAAGAAGAAGGAAGAAAAAGAAGAAGATTGTTCTCCCTTGACTTCTTCTTGGTGGCTTGTGGCAGAAGAGAAATTGAGTTTATTTCTCTTGTAACTTTATCTTCTTTAGTGTACCTCCATGTAGAGTTTCTTCAGTGTATCTCAGTGTAGAGAGAGAGAAAAACATTGAGACAAGATGAGAGAGCAACGAAATGGAAGTGAGAGATTCCTCTCGTAAGTCGAGGTGATCGACTGGTGTAAATTCGTCAATTAGTAAAATCCTCTGCAACTCCGTGGACGAAAGCAATTTGTCAAACCTTGTTAAATCTCTGTGTTCTTCTTATGGATTTGCATTGTTTCGCCCTAAATTTCATAATAATTTACACCCCCCCAATTAAATATGATTTAGAAACATCTAAATTGATGATTTAAACGAGTTAATTGATGCTCATCACCCTGAAAGCATGGTTTTCAATCTCAGTGATTATGGTTCCCTTTCAATTTACATCATTTTAAAATCGGTCAATGCTTTTTATTTTGATTGGTTTGAAAAATTTCACCACATACTGAAAATATTGGCTGAAATTTTGAATGAAAACATTAGTTCTACTTCTTTCTGAATTTAGGACTATAATATAAAATTAATTAAACAATAAAAGATTAACAAAAAAATAAACTAAAGTTAGCTCTGAAGATAAATTTAATAAAATGAGAGTTTACGCCGTGTGATTGAATTCGAAAGTATACCATAAAAGAAGGTTATAAAGACCATAAAATTTTAACACGAAATAAACTAAAGCGAAAAAAATCATCATTTTCTATAGGGCTATCAAAAAATCTTGTAATTCACGAATAGCTCGTGATCGGGTCGTTAAATAGCTTGTATTTGATTCATTCATTAAGCAAACGGTTGAACACGGATAATTTTCTTAAGCTGATATATAAATGAACCGAACCAAAACAAATGTTTGTTCGCTCGTGCTCGACTTGTTTTGAGTAGAAATAATTGAATAATAAACAATAAAATTTATTCATGTACTTTTTACATTATTTCTTAAGGGTGGGATAAATGCACAATGTGAAGTTTAGGTGTTAGATATGTAGATACATAGCAAATACTTAAGAATTGGCTTATATGTATGTAAATGCCCAAAAAAAAGATAAAAAATACAAAATAGTGTGGGAGGAGTATGTAAAGAGAAGTTTACTCAAAGCCTTAGAAGTGCTTAATTGTTGGAAAATTTCTCCTTCGAGCATTATAATCACACGGCCCTCATGAGAGTTCTAGTGGTTGAGCTCTAATTTGAATTGAGCTCGGACAAATTAATTTGAATAAAAAAGAACATTGATATGATATTCATGAGCTATTTCAAATATGAGCCTATTTCAAACAAAAAAAAAAACTCAAAAAAGTTAAACACGAACAAACTCAGGACTTGCTCAAGCTAGTTTTGTTTACACCCCTAGTTTTTCGACATGTTGAAATGATCAACTTAGAAATTGGAGAAGACCGGATAACAAAATTGGGATCACTATCTTGATCTTCTGTATTTATATTAGAGATTATTTCGGAAATAATGGAAGATTGATCACAATCACATAACAACTGTCATGCATCAGCAATTGAGTGACAATAATCAAGTGTGGACAATCAGATAATAAAAATTTAAAATACATTTTTGGGTTGGGATCGAGTTGACACATCAAATTCAAAATTGACTCAAAATCAATTTCCCAACCCCAAATTGACTATAAATTGAATTGAATAACTATTATGTGTTATGTTAAACAGATTATAGTAATTATGTTGGCTTAATGACTTAAGACTGGCCGGAAATGAATTGAACTTTTTGGCCTGTTTAATATAGTAATTGGTCTTGGATAAAACACTTTGGGTTCACCCTAACTCAGACCAGTGAATCTGACTTTAACACTCTTCTTCAAAATTCCATTCTTTTAAAATTTACAATTTATATTGAATTAATATAATATTCAAATCCACTTGATGGTAAAAAAAAAAGCTTCTCATTATTGTTTTTTTCTTTTATTGCTCAAATCCATACCTTAAAATTAGCCAATATTTACAACCCTAACTATTGCCACTTCACTGGAATCATCACCAAGGAATCCGAGGCAGCGAACTCTGAAAAATCTTCAGCAAGCGTTAGAGAGAGAAACATCCCCACGGTGCGCAATGGCCGAGATGGTTTACGGCGACGACCTCCACGACGGCGACGGCATGGTGGTCGGAAGAGATGCAGCTATCCAGGCTCTGAACACAATCATCCAACTCCACTTCGAGAAAACCCTAGAGAAAAAGAGAGCAGTCGACGCCCAAAAGAAGGAGATGTGGCGTCTCTTTCAACTCTTCTTCCTCTTCCTCGCACTAGTCCTCGCCGCTCAGGTCCAGGCCCCGCCATCTCGCCTTCAATGCCGCCATTGCTGGGCTCCGATCGGCCTCCTCTCCCTCGGCCATCTCATCTTCTATGTTTCTGTAGCCCAAACCCTAAGATGCATCAATGGATTCAAGTACCAACGCCGATGTCACAAGCTAACCCTAGCCCTCGCTACGGATCGTCTCAAGCATTTGAAGCTGCGCTATTCCGCCGCCGCGGCGGCAACCACCCACGGCGCCGCTTTTGCCGGGTGAGTTCGAGATCCATTACCAGCAGCCGCCGGATAACTATTTGGGGAAGTTTAAGCGGAGTTGGGCTTTGTATTTTGTGTTTCTGATGTGCACATTTGGATTCATGGTTTCCGCTTCTCTTGTTCTACTTTGCTTCTAGCTCTGTTTTGAATAATGATGCTGCAATTTGTTTTTTTTATTCTGGTTCGTTCTTGAGATTCGATCTCCGGCTACCGGAAGCTAAATCTCCGGTGATGTGAAAGAGGGGCGTATGGTGTGCCGCAGAAACTTTTTATTTGTGCTTTGTGGGTCGTGTGGGAGTTGATGGGCGGATGGGATTTGTTTTGATATGTTGTATTCTAGTTGTGGAAACGAATAGATATTATGAGCCGCCGTCTTGGGCCATCTACTTTGTCTCATTTTATCGTTTTTCTTACAGATATATATATAATATATATATATATATATATATTTATATTTATTTATTTATTTATTTGAAGTCAAGCACATGACCAGCTAACGTGTGAATTAACTGTAAAATACTTTTAAAGTTTATTAATCACAGAAAATCTATTATTAAAATGAATAAATTGTTGTACTAAAATATAGTTGTTATGGAAAGACCAACCATTACGTGCCAGCTCAATGTGAGTTTGGTGGGGCTCCAATAAAATGAGCCTTTGATAGTGGGCCTTAAAAGGAGTTGTCTAATTGAATGCATTTCCTGTGTCAGCGATTCAGAAAGTAGTAGCTGGGTGCCTTACTGGGCTTCGGCCCACGTGAAATTGCTGGTTAGCGTGCTAGGATTGGGTTGGCTTAAATATGGGATGTAGTATTGTAATAAAGCATAAAAGATAATATATGCTGCTTATATGTATTTGACTCCTGGTTTCCAGCTCCTCTTCTTGATAAGAGCTTTATCATGGTGTGAGAGGAGGCAGTTCTTAGGCTTTCCTGATTCTTCAGAATTTTTCATTTGTGTTTTTCTTTTTACTTGTTATAGGAAAATAATGAGAAATCTTAAAAATTCACTCAATAATAATTAAATAAAAAAGATTTACGTGATTCTGCGTTGAGTTGATTCACTTGTGTCCACGGAAAGGATGATTCCACTAGCACATGATGTGAAAAAGCAAAAAAAAAACTTGGTTAAAACTCTACACTTCTCACCATTACTCTTTCATAATTACTAAATTCTCTTTTATAGAAGAGAACTATGTCATAGAGTAAATAAAGCCAAAAGATAAAAATACATCTAATTACAATAAAAATAAATAATATCATAAATACAATAATCTCCACTCATCATTTACTTTAATATAAGTAAGAGATGAACAAATGAGCTTCAAATTTCAATTCAGATGCACCAAGATAGTTGCCTAAGTACCCCCCTCATGAATTAATGTATGTCATGATTTGTATTACACCAGACATTGCACAAGCAGTTGATGTTGTGAGCAGGTTTATGCATGATCCAGAAAATAGTTATTGACAGAATAGGAAGAGTATTATGAGGTATCGAAGGGTACATTTAATGTTGGCTTGGTGTTTGAGAGATTGTCATATATTGCAGATTTGTGTGTTTCCTACAATGACTCGGACTATGCAGATGATATGGATAGATGAAGATCTACGACTAGCTATTTATTCACATTAGTAGAAGCTCTAGTCAGTTGGAGGTTGTTTCTTCAGTCTACTATCGCGTCTACTACTGAAATCTAGTACTTAAAAGTCACAGAGGCGCCGAAGAAAGCAATATAGATGTAGGGTCTATTGGGTGATTTGAGAGTTGATCAGGAGTCTCTGACGGTGTTCAATGACAGTCAGATTGCAATACACTTGGCCACAAATCCAATTAGTCATGCTCGTACCTAGCACATTGATGTGAGGTACTAATTTGTTCGGGACTTTATTGAAGAAGTTAAGGTTCTATTAAAGAAGATAGATACGAATGAGAATTCAGTGGACATGCTCACGAAGGTACCGCCAATCCAAGAGTTCACCTAATGCAAGACTTTGGTGAACATCCGAGCTCAGGACTGATTGCTCAGAAGGTACACAGTGCTGGGCTAAATCATTATTGTTTCCACTAAATACAAGTATCAATCTTATGGGTAGAGTGATAGAGTGTCATCTGATTATCATGAGATTTTTGTCGAAGACCATGCTACATGAATTCAAAAATAAGATTATGCAAAATGGACGCTCGAAGTTGTGAGAGCCAATATGAAGCGGGATACAGTCATCTGTCGTATATATCAATGATGCAGCTAACTAGTATACATGAAAGGGGCAAAATATGTCAAGATATGAACCTCTTATTCACAAATCTAAATATCAAAGGAATGTCATCTAGTTCTCCGCTTTGTAGCATCCTGGGTGGATTCCCTTCACTATCTTGGATGTAGTTGTAGCAACATCCATATTGAAGAGTTGCTCTTCCTTTATAGGTGCTTCTCTTAAGCTCTCCCTAGCAGCCTGTCTAGAAAGCTATAAATTTTTTGGATGATCATTTGTTGTTCTATTTCCGAGAAGACTCCTTTGAATAGTTTTAACGCTTTTAAGATATTGACGGGCTTACCTCGCAAAGCATTCGAAAATCTAAGTTCTCATCCTTTTGCATTGGACTAATAGATCATTAGTCTCACCCTCTCAAGGTAGTTCATGTCTCTCAGGAGAAAATGAAGGTGTTATATAAGTGAATCTACTGTCTAGAATCATTTGTGAGAGTTCCACATGTATGAATTCTTCAACGGTGGATGTTTGTTTGGTGTTGGATTCCCTCGCTATTATGACATGCTTTTTCATCATTCTTCGATTTTTATTCCTTTGTTGGGTTTTAATGAGCTTGGGCTTTACCACTGGACTTAACTTTAGGCTCCATAAGATTGTCACAGGGATAATTTGCCCAGCTTCTCTTCGACGCTAGGCTTCCAACTTCCTCTTTTACAGAAAATTCAATCAAAGGCTCTTTCATGGTGGGTAACTCAAGCTCAAACGCAGCTATTTCTAGATTGTTGCAGAACATGCTTAAATTTGTATAATCCGTGTCAAATCCAATGACTCAATTGTTTGTCAGATATGTCTGATCAATTTTTAGAGTGATATTGTCTTCAAAAAAAAGGATGAGCTTTCCTGATGACATTTTCTGTAATCAAATAAATGAACGAGTTAATTCTCGTCTAAAAGCTCTTAATTTTAAAGTAGTTTAAATAATTTTAAGGAGAAGAAAACAAGATTTAGGAAAGAAAGTTTAGCTAAACCAAATCTCAAATTGGACAAATAAACAATTCAAATTTTCATTAAAAGATAAAAAAAAAATTACAATTGCTTAACTCGGATGTTTCATTACATAAACCCTTTTTTACATATAATACTTCTTTAAATAACATCTATTAATTGAGGTTATTGGATGTCCTCCCATGTGGAAAGCTCCCTGGTAGACTTTTCCTATTACATAAGGGTGTTCCCAAATCGGCTCAAATTTGCCACCAATTTTCGGTGAGTTAGAATCAGTCTCTTGAGAACTAGGACCAATTCTCCTACATTAAATGTTCGGGTGGTCTAACCAACGTGTCATGACTGCCGTACCCAAGGGTCGACGCACCTAAAAGAGTTGGGTGAAAACCCATGCAAAACACAAGTCAACTTTAGAGGAATGATTGTTGGACCTGAGGGTTGACACACAAGGTGTAAAAGAGATGGGTGAAAACCCATAAGAAGTGGCTGAACATCCCCGTGAAGAGGGTTCGCCTGGACCCAGAGGTCAACATATAAAGTGTAACGTAAGTGAATGGAAACTCCCACAAATGGGCATGGATAATAACCCACGAAAATGAAAAAACACTTCCGCAGAAAGGGACTGCAAAGACATGAAGGTGAACACATTTAGCGTAAAAGGGTATGGGGAATAATCTATAAGATGGCAAACCATTCTTCTGAAGGGTCGTCAGACCCGGAGATCAACGCATTTAGTGTAAAAGGGTATGGGTAATAACCCATAAGAAGACAAGTCATTCTTCTAAAGGAAGGGCCGCCAGACTTGGAGGTCAACTCATTTAACGTAAAAAGAGGTATGAATAAAAACTCATAAGTTGACAAACCATTCTTCCGAAGGAAGGGCGGTCGGACCCGGAGGTCAACGTATTTAGCATAAAAATGTATAAGTAATAAACCATAAGGAGGCAAGTCATCCTTCCAAAAGAAGGTCCGTCATACCAGGAGATCTAAAACATTTAGTGTAAGAGAATATGGGTAATAACCCGAGGCAAACCATTCTTCCGAAGGAATGTCCATTGGACCCGGAGATCAAAGCATTTAGCGTAAAAGAGAACAGGTAATAACCCATAAGAAAGGAAGCCATTCTTCTAAAGGAAGGGCCGCCGGACTAGAAGGTCAACACATTTAGCGTAAAAGGGTATAGGTGATAACCCATAAGAAGGCAAGACATTCTTCCAAAGGAAGGGCTGTCGGACCCGAAGGTCAATGCATATAGCTCAAAGCATGTGGAAGATATCCCACAAAAAAGGCTAGCCACTTCCGAGAGAAGAGCTACATTGACCCGAAGGTCAATGCAAAAAAAAAAAATTTCATAAATGGTGTTAAGAGAGCTCAAATTTATAAAAAAATGGTTAAAAACTTGGAAAACAAAATGAGAAATATTTAAAGCGAATGCTTTTTCACCAGTGATTATGAAAAATACCTGCTCCACGAGCGGACTCATGCCAAGCACAATTTTCATGTGATTTTGGCCCACACCTGCCTCCTTTATCTGCTTATATCCTATAACACAAAGTATGCTGAAGTCTCCACATATACATATTTATATAACCTGTCAGAACTAAGGGCCGAAATCATGTTGATAACTATGTCATCAACTTGGCTCTACTACCCAAATTGAATCTCATTTTTATCAAGTGATTTTAGGCATAAGTTCATTCTACTTATGGTACATTCATAATGAAAAATCACAGGTTTAATGATCGTGGGATTCTTAAGAAACCAATAATAATGCTATTAAAAAAAAAAAGAATTCATGTACATATATTAAATCTATAGTTCCTACTAATATCTATGCACTCTACATATTATCACACTTGCATTTTTTTTTTTTTCTAATAATCCGTTTACAGTGAAATTTTGTAAACTCTAAAACAGTTGGGATGAAACTAAGCAAAGAAATCCATGGTTGGAGATGTACTGCCTGCAAGTTGATCTCTACACTCTCAAGAGTCGGAAGCCAGAATGTGCAAATATATGTCTCTTCTTCTTTCCCTAATGTAATCTAATCAGCCCGAGCTAGTCCTTCTAACCTGTCTAGGGGGCTTGTTCTTCATGGTGAAAGGAACCTCCATCGCCATAAGCTGTGCCACAACTTGGACATTAAAAATGTATATATAAAGGTTACATATAAAAATATTAAACCATAATGAAGAATTTAGTTCAATAGTGAGAATGATAAAATCAGCCATTTCAGTACTCAAGGCTAACGTAGTCAATACAGAGGAATGGAAAACATATGTTGGTTACACGTATTTTGTATTCATCATCATCCTTGTCCTTGGCATTATTGCTGCTATTGAGGATTTGTTTTATAAATCCCTATTTTCCAACTGTTATTACAACATTTGAGAAAAAATTGCACTTCAATCCATGTAAACTTTGGTCAATTTTTCCTTACCAATCATTTCTGCATTAATTCTCACTTGTTGTTGGACATGCTCAAATAACCTAACTTTCAATCTCGTTAATGCTTTATATTCAATAGTTGCAATTCTAATAATCAGTTTTATATAAGAATGATTTATATACATACCACTCAATTCCTATGTATTTACATATCCAAAACATAAGCTTCAATTTTTACATATATGCCATCTTACCTTTGCATGAAAAGGTGTATTTCATTTTTTTCAAAGATGACATAGTGGTATTTTTTAGATGACATGAAAGATTTGGGTGGTATAAATTTAAAAAGTAAATTTTGGGTGTTAGATATCTAAATACATAGGTATTGGGTGATATGTATGTAAATGCCTCTTTATATAATTGTTTCTCGATCTAAATCATTTTAATTTGACTAAAAAAGCATATTAATATTCAGAATCTCTTGCACTTTATACTTGACTATAAATGAATATGGTAAAAGTAGATTGACAAGTCCAAAATGCAGTTTTGAGCGCTCTAGAGATCTCATAATCGTGAATATGTGAATTTTACAGAAGCACAGAAGCCAGAAAGAATCCAGGTTTTGCGGATTTGTTAAAGAATGTTGACAGATTTAGAGATACAATTATGTATTGGAAGATTTAGTCGCAAAATAGGAATCAAAAGTAAAAGTGGAATGTGGAGCATCTACTTTTTGCACACTGCATCTGAAATGTCTACCAAGCAGGCCAATAGCATCAATGTTTTCCACTTATAAGGAATGTTTGGTTGAAGAAAATTTTTGTAAAATAATTTGAAATTTGGCTGCCTAATTATCAACTTCTGAATATGAACTGTACAAAACTATCAACTTGCTCCACTCCCACACTCCTAATGGGCCATTTCTGTGCATTTTAATGAGCAGAATCTAATGCATCAGCTGAAAGATAAGCAAAGGTTTTTATTTACTTTTTTTTTAGCTCAAGCAAAAGTATATTTCAATAACTTTTTCTGTTAATTGGCAATATGCTCTACTAGACCGCTGGTGGGCAGTGTGATGCTTGAAACAATTTTTATACACGGATTTCAAAATTTTTTGCTTTATTTCTCAAAAACGTGCATTACATACTACCGATTTATGGATGGTGAAATACATTTCATGTTTCCTTCAGAATTATGCCTAATGAGGCTCAGGATTTGTAAAATGTTAGGTGAAGTGCACTTATACCATTTATTTTGGGGTTTAGATTGGCTTATCTTGAATTAAGATTCTTCTAGGAATCAAAGGAAATTATTTTTCATCAAAACACCTATATTTATCCCAAATAATTGAGTTGTCTTTTTTCACTCTTTGCAACTGCTTATTTAAAGTTGCGCTAGCTTAGAAAATATTTTCCCACAAGGAATAGTTAGGTGATTTATCAAAAATATAAAAATAAATTTGTTGCTGATAAATTATATAGTTGGTAATGCCGAAAACGCTAAATATTGACCATATGCTAACCAGCCATTGCACTTTTAGTTAAATCTTATTTCTCTCAAACCTGGTATTAACTTCACCCTTCCTTCATGATATTTTATTTGCTTCCTTCACGTTCCATGAATATAAATTTGTTTATGATGACACTTCCCTAATGAGTAAAGCCTACCACTCTAATTATATTCCTAGCTTATGCTCCGGGGTCAGCAATATCGCTTTAATATGAAAGGATTCAATCAAAAAGGAGAAAAAACAAAAAAAAAATGCATAGAATGTATGAAAAAAGATATATACAATTATATTTTAAAACTTTTATACGACACTAAATAGAATGAATGAAGAAAGAGAATTCATAAAACAAACCTCAAGAAATTGGGTTACAACCATAACAAGAATGATACTCCAGATGATCTACCCTATAATATAATAATTTTACATTTGAATATGTTTCTGTGGTTCGAAACTCAGTAGTACACATCTTAACCATTACTTAAGGTACCACTTAATCATTCCAAACAATAGTAACGGAAGTAAAATAGCATTAATGCGGAAAAAGCGGATCCTTTATGCAGAAAGAGGCAACATCAATTTGTTGACTCATAAATTTGTAAATATTGAGCAGAATGAAGCTAAAAGGAAATTTCAAAAAAATCCTATTTTTGAAACAAGAGTAAAGTCAGTCCTGTCCAATACAAATGACTTGAAGCATATTGAAATGTCTCAAACAATGTCGTGTATATTCTCTAGAGTTTGGTGGAATGGAGTCTGCAATTTTCAATCCATTGAATGGGCCAGATTGCAAGAAAGCAAATTAAAGGTTTTTCTTAGCCAATATTTTTTTTATTGCTCTGTGATATATAGGATGCCAAGAGAAAAGATAAGCAGGCAGAAAAAAGCTGACTACTTGGCCTCTGCAGATAGTTTTCAGATTTCAAAATCTCAAGAATTTAGGTTGCTCCAGACCTTCGCATCATCATTCTTCCATAAAATAAATAAATACTTCAAGCTCTTTGTAGAGCTACAGTTTTTCTCCTTTTCTCTTGTAACATGACACTGATGTCTCAATCAAAATAAAAAAAGTGTATAGTTCTCGAAAATATAAAAAATAAATATTGAGATAGTATTTTTCTAGCTAAAATATGCTAGGGATGATGATCCCAATGACAACAGATTTTGTTCTCCAAGTTCTGATTACTCCTTTAGGTTTACTTACACAAGTATTTCTAGTTCAGCTCTTGAATTCCCTAATTCAATCTTTTCCAATTTCTCGTTTTTGCAAATATTTAGTTCCCTCTTCTAAAGGGCGGATTCTGTAGCCACTACATTGTTCAGTTATCAGTTGGCTTACGACTAGGAGCTGTAATTGATTGTGTTTATTGAGGAATTCCCTGTTCCTGTTGGCTATTTTCCTTCTATGGTTAACTTGTGTCTCTGTCTCCGGGCCTATAGCAGTAACTAGCTATTGATTAGCTTTCTTGTATTCCACAATAAATGGAGAAAACATAGTAGGCAAGAAGTCCTTGAATGAGATTTTAAAATTGAAAAATTATTGTTCTTGCAAAAACTAGAATTAGAAACTTGATGTTCATGATTGAATCAAAGCATGATGAATTGAAACTAGCAGATTATTATGCTAGATCTTGGAAAATTATGAAGAATTATTATTATGGGTTCTTTTTGGGCCATAGATAAGACCTCTTAGGCATATAAAAATCATTGCATGTTGCATGCAGAAAAAAATTTCAAGTTATATCACTTCTTGTGCGTGTGAGATTGGATGTGGATACTTAATAAACACCTTACAAGTCCCGACAAATACCATAGAGAGATAAATCTTCTTATACCAGCATGAGGCCTGGATCTCCCACTTAGAAGTGATTTCAATTCTAAATTTTTGTTAGCTTTTCTTAATGATTTGTTTGGGCATAATTGAATTTTTTTAACGTTTGACGGCAATACTTTCATAGGATAGGTCTCCTTGCATCAACATAAGGCCTGAATCTCTCATTTAGTGATTTCTATCCTTATGTTTCTACTTTCAGGTGCCTAGTGTGTGCGATTCAGATTTTTCCAAGTCCAATATATTGATTTTTTTTTAATAGTGTGAATATTGAACATCGCCATAATAAAACTTTCTATTAGCTCTCAGTTTTCTCTTGGAACTTAGGAGTTTCGTGGCTATTACTTTATTTTTTGTAATGAAAAACCATATATATTTTTTTAAAATTTTACATCAAAAGTGACTAAAGCTTTGCTTTAAATTCAAAAAATGATATATGCAAATTATGACTTCATACATATTTCTTTGAGTATCTCATCTACGATTTGCATCAGTAAACCTTTGACTCTTAAGACATCCTACAAAACCTAGCATGTAGGTTTGGAAAATACATAAACAGTGAAAGGCTCTGAATCACAAGTCATGAGAATAAAGTCAGTTCATCATAAAAATATAATGTGCGTTCCTAACAGTCATTCCTACTTGACAAGACAAATGATTTCCAATAGTAACAATGCAAAAAGAGGCTCGATGCAAGCCTTCTTCACAGATTGGCATTCCCCACCTGTGAACTTCAACGGTCTTTGACTACTTGATATTTTGCCTCCTAAAGAAGCCTAAGACCCTATAACCAACCTTTTCTCGTTAGCCATATAAAAACTTGGTGAGTGTTCATTATAATAGCCATGCAACGCCAATGGTGATATAAGATACCTTGAATTTTAGGGATTACCAATATTTATGTCCAATGCAATGTACAAAATAATATAAATATTCTCATATTATCAAATTTACAAACTAACACTTCAAATAGATTTCAAAGCTCAAATGAAAAGTGATAATAAGAAGAAAAGCACGACGATGATATTTTAATATCATTCACTGCATAATATGTAGAAAGAAAAAACATTCAATAAATTGAAAATAAACTTACCATAAACATCTAGAGTGTATTAAGTCCGCCAAAATATCAATCACATGTAAATCAAATAAACATTTGACAGAAACTTATGAGGAATTTCAGCAGACTTATTTTTTTTAATGAAAGTCTGAAGAGGATTTTTTTCATTATAAAAAATGGGTCTTAGGCATATAAAGATGCAATATAAGTATTTCTAAATAAAATATATAATTGGACATACAATTCCTTCAAATTCTAAGTTAGTGTAGATCTCCTATTTTAAATAATTAGTCATCTTCAAGCATACACAATAGAGAATTTTTCTTCTTCATACAAA